TCTCTCTCTCTCTGGTCAAATTAAAAATTAATAGTAACAAATGGAATTAAATAAATAAATCTTTAAAAAAATTAAAGAAAGAAAAAATAATCTGACTTAAAAGATTTTAATACTTACTTTTACTTGATTATACCTCATGTGTAACTACACTCAAGAATTAAACCCAACTGGAAGCTTTTAACAGAAGCCCACAATACATGAGACCTCACAGACTACTTTCTATTCCTTTTTTTAAATTCCTGTTTTTTCTAGTTTCAGTCTAACTTCTGCATGTGTAAAACAGAGACTTGGAAGAAAAAATACTACTCTACACTAAAGAGTCTTAAGTTTTCTTTTCTTTTTTTGTGATTTTTGCTATAGGGCATATGTGTTCACTGGAGAGACAGAGACAGAAAGTGAGAAATCACCCCCCAGGGAGGATGGTCATGATACAATCCCTGCTCCATTCTCCTTTCAGGATTCACCCAGTGTGAGTTTCAAGTGACCAGGTCCAGGACTCAAACTGTGGTCAACCATTTGAGAGTCTGACATCTTAACCACTTACGCTACCTACTGGTCTTAAATTTTGTATATTCTAGTAATTGTGAGGTAGCAGCATAATGCCAGTTATATAATGCTATTTCAAATATTAAAATGCTAGTCTATAAATAGACTAAATGCTCTTTAATTTTTTTTTCTTTTCAGTTGATGATGAAGTGCATGTGCGTGAGAGAAAGAGAAAGAAAGACAAGTACGCTACATGGCATCTGGTCACGCCAGTCTCCCTCCTTACTCCTCCAGTCCATTGCTTCCCAAGCAATTGTGTGCAAGACCAGTGTGTTTCAGGTTGACTGGGGCAGGGATTTAAGCCATGGGTACATTGTGGGATCTATAGCTTCTCTTGAGTACATATTATCACTGTGTCACAGAGCTGGTTCCTAAATGGTCCTTTTTTTTTAAAAAAAAAATATATAGGTTTTTGCCTTAGGGTACATGCGCTTACTGGAGAGACAGAAACAGTGAGAGGGAAAGAAAGAAATCAGCCCTGAGAGGATGGCCATGCCTCAATTCCTTCTCCTCCCCTCTCCTCCTGGGCATGCACACACACAGGCGCATGCACCCGGTGTGACTTTCTAGTTGCTGGGGACTTGAACTGTGGTCGGCCATGTGGGAGACCAGTGATGTAACCACTATGCCATCTGCTGGCCCTCCTAAATGCTGTTCTAAGTGGCCTCATATATTGTTTTTTTTTAAGGACTTCAACCACGATAATTTGTTCAGTCTATTTTTTAGCATTAAATAATAGTACCAATAACGTTGTGTGTGTGTGTGTGTGTGTGTGTGTGTGTGTGTGTTTAAAAATTGTTATAGGGCATTTGTTTCACCAGAGAGAGAGAGACAGAGAGATAGAGAGTTGTGAGAAATCACTCCTCAGTCACCTTAACCTCTCAAGTCACCTGCTGGTCCTTGTAGGAAAACCTATAACAGAAGAGTAATAGCTGAGCTGGCTCTGTGGCCTAGTGGTTAAGGCAGCTGGATCCTACATGGCTGGCTCCACAGTTTGAGTCCTGGATATGGCAGCTTGAGAAACACGCTGTGCATGTGCATGTGTGTACCCCAAATCCTGACAGGATGAAGAAATGGTGGAGAAGGGACTGTGGTATGAATGTTCCTCATGGGAGGTGCTTTCTCCTTCACCCTCTGCATCTCACTCTGACTAGTGCACATACCCTTTGGCAACATTAAAAAAAATCAATATCAAAAATTATTAAAAAAGAGTAATAACTGGGAACCAGCAGTTAGCGTAATGGCTATGTCACTGGACTCCCACGTAGTCGACTGCGGTTCGTGTCCCGGACCCGGTGGCTTAAAACTCACGCCGGGCGCGTGTGCGTGCATGCCCAAGATCCCGAGAGGAGAATAGAGGAGAAGGGACTGCGGTGTGACCATCCCCCCTGGGGGGTGATTTCTCGTTTTCTGTCTCTATGTCTCTCTCTGTCTGTCTGGCTAGCGCACGCGCCCTACAGTGAAAATCTCTCCAAAAAAAAAAAGAGTAATAACCAAAATTTCAATCATGTAAGATGACTTCTTTCCATGAAAAGAAGTATACAATCATTTTACTAGTAATTTAAATAGTTGTTTACAAAGTTTAAATTGCTTGGTTCCTAGCAGAGTATACTCTTACCTGTGATAGAGTTGACAACAGAACGTAGAATTGTTGGTGGCTTAATTAATTCTTTCAAAATGTTAGATTCAGTAGCCAATGGAAATCCATTATCTAGCATTTCTTCCAAAAGTTCATATACTATGACAACATTATCTTTAATTGCAGCCTCCGAACACTCACCAAAGTAGTCCTAACAAGATATACATAATGTTGCACAATGAAAGGCATGAAGAAAAGCTTACTATATACTTTTTGTTCTGAAGAACAAACTTACAGAAGCAGAATTAATTGTTAAGATGATAATAGTAAACAAAACAGGTGGGGGAATATCCGATAGTTTTAGTACTATTTTCTCAGTATTTTCTTAGTATTTTTAGATTGAATTGAATTCCTATCACATATTATGCCAGAAAGTACTCAACCATTAAGCTAGAATGTGAGCTATAAATGTCATTTGTCCTTAACACCCCAAGAACCAGATGGGTAACTTTAAAATTATTTGGCATATTCAGCAAGACAAGAGAAGACAGTAAAGTGTAAACAGAAGAGTTCATAAGCAATAAAAATCTGTGACCATCCAGAGTATTATACGTAGGAGGCCATTAATGCTTCCTGCT